CATAAAAGAAAATCTCCATTCCTGGTCTGCAGTCTTTCTTCACACACTCCAACCCAAGCGATGTTTAACCCAAGGGGAAAAGTCAAGGAATTTACATCAAAACGGAGCTCTGACGCAAAAGAGGCCTTTGTGTAAATTTGCAATTTCTGTGATCCGAACTAGTGCACCAGATGCCCCAATATATTGGCCTAGCGCCGAGTAAGGCAGCGTTCAGACTTCGCGACGGCAGCGCTTCGGTCGCGCGTTCGACGCGATCGATGCAGTCGAAAGCATGCGCATCGATCGCGCCGAACGCGCGACCGAGGCGCTGCCGTCGCGAAGTCTGAACGCTGTAGCCTCTCCTTCTGCTCGTAGGTGCTCAAAATGCCTCGAGTTGGCTAGTGTCAGGCACCTCATATAGCGAAATAGAGATGGACATCCAAGTTACACATGTTCGGATAAGTTTTCTCATTTCTCGCACGGAAGTCGCCGGCCAAGTTGTACGCAGGCTTGAGCTTGTTCGGTTCCCTCCCAAGGCAGATAAACGGAATCTTTCTGAACTAATAGGTTGACGCTCGACCGTGGCACAACTGAAAAAGACTTGTGCGCCAAGTATTTGCCAAGAGAATTCGTCGAAGTTTCCGAGGTGGTAATGGTTAAGTATTACCTCCATTTTTTATTGCAGAATCGATGTTCACCTGAAGACCGACAGCGTATCAATGTCGGTTGGTTCGCAGGGCCCGCAGATGCCAAGGAGGAGTACGATCAGTTAGTCTGAAAAAATCTCGTGGTTAACTTCAGTTCTGCTTAAGGAGCGAACCAGGAAGTAGAGTCGCTCGAGATTATTTTCGTTTCTTTTAGCAAAATTGCTGTATATAGTCAACGATTAGGATGCCAGATGTACAATTTCATTAGTTATCCTATTGGTGGAGTAAAGCGTGGATTCTGGAAACCGAATAGGTGTGAACGTTTTTTTAGTTCTGACTGAGATATCGTTTCAACTGATTATTTAGCACGTCGGCCATTCCTCCTCCAATTGATCTGCCTGATGTTCAGCTGCAGAATCATTTATGGGAAACGTATATTAATGCTCAGATATCTTCATGGATTGACTGCGACTCCGAAAACGAAGAGCTGGCTGCTTTATCCGAGATTGAGTTACAAAAGGTTCGAGTCGTCCTTGCCTTGACTTTTTCCCTTTGTAATGGTCTTCACACCTTTCAGGAGCTAAATTATTGTGCCTATATGGGCCTTCGCAGTGCTGTATTTCGACTGAAACATGCCGATTCACCTCGTTTAGCTCGCATACTCAATCAGTGGCTGTGGACCAGAAATGTGAATCTGAGGTATGCGTGGAAACGTATTGTTCAAGTCGTTGCTTTAACAGTAGTCACCTGCATT